TGTAGTTATCTCGGACAAACTTACCTGGGATACATGTACACCTAACTACAGCAAAAGAAAATTAAACAAACTTTTAGGTCTGCTGAACAGATCATGTCCCTTGTTAACTAAAGTGGCAGTAAGAAGATCCTTGTACTTAGCGATTGTGAAGCCCCACCTTTGTTACGCTACTGAGGCCTGCTCTCCTGCTCAGACGTCACTAAATGTTCAGGTTGAGCAAGTTCAGAGACGTGCCACCAGATGGATTTTAAGTTTGAAGCCAAGGTAGATGTCATATGGGGAGAGACTGCTCGCCTTGGATATGCTGCCTCTTGCTTCCGTGATAGAAATCAAGGACCTCGTTTTCTTTTAGAAAGTTATTTATGGCTACATTGATATTGACGTCTTTGACTACGTAACGTTTGACAATCATCCACGTACACGCCGTGGTCAGCTGTCTGCTGGCTGTTATCTCACTTTTCTGGCCTGCGATAACAGCACTTTGCAAGCCTCATATTTTGTCCGTATTGCGAAAATTTAATGTAGTTGTTTTGATTTATTCATGCATGTCGACAATTTTCACGGGAATTTAAATGGTTTCTTTGTTACGTTTAGCGCAATTTTCAAACCTTTGTGGCGTGTTTGGTATTCCTTGGAATGGTATTTTCTTTCATTAAATTAATTTCCTCTTCAGACATTTCGACAAAGCGCGAGGCAGCCATTTTGAAATTATAATCACCTCGCTGGAGGTGACTATAGCGGATTATCATATGGCTGTGTCTCACAAGGATTGGGAACTACAGAATTTACGAATTTGATTGGCTGAAATCAATATTGAGAACGGTCCAGATTTTCTCATCTAGACCGGCATCTAGACCGGTCTAGAAAAAAAAGGTAGAAAGAATATAAAAAATTGGCATAAGATATAGCGATATAGTAAACATCTTATTAACGGAGCTAGGTCGGTCTGTATGGGAGAATCTTGACCTCGGTCGCTGGTACAGACCTCACTGCGTTCGGTCTGCACTGGCGACCTCTGTAAAGATTCTCCCATACAGACTTCCCGCTCGGTTAATAAGAACTAAATATGACGCCATTCTCGGCCAATAAGAGCGCAAGAGTTTCTATAATCACCTGAGTAATTATACTAAATATATATGTAACTAACTGCAGACAGTACTGTTTCGGCCTTCTGGGCCTCATCACTACAGTGCTGATGTTAGCATGAGGGAGAAACGGGAGGGTCACCCCAAACGACCCAACACTTGTGGTATCGTCCAAGCCATGCCTCAATTAAAGCTATTTGGCGGTCACTGATAGGCTCAGATAAATTATACGAGCATAATTTTGGGTATAATGCCGTAGGCTGAGGATCGAGCGTGATTACAGCATAATTACTAAAATTCTTGAGCGTATATAAATGCGTCAAACTACTTTTCAAAAA